CATGTGAGTAACCCGGGGGAGGGCCAATGTCCGGGTCTGTCATGGGGATCGGTTGCTAAGGGCAACAGAGCCAGAGCGCCCGCCCCTTTTATTATGGGATGACAGGTCAGAGAATGGAGAACTCCGGGTACCGGGGGAGCCGTAACCCATAGCAACCGACAGAGACCCGCTTCTCCCAACCAATCACACGTTCTGTCGCATCCTCTCCTTATCTGCTCCCTGATTGGCTGGCTTCTTTCATCATTTCCCTCCCATAGATCTCTGTGAAGGGGTCACCCCCCCTCCCCCCCCCTCCGAGACATTCACCCATCACTGGTGACCACACCGAGGGACGGGGCGCCGGGACACGGCCTGCTGTCACCGGGACAGGAAGTGAGGGGGGAATCCTGCTTTGGGGACACCCTGTGACCACTGTGCAGAGAGTTCCTGTGGTGTCACCGCAGCAGGAAGTGAGGGGGAATCTCCCCAAAGAGACACCCCGAAGGCCTCATTTACAGGGGGAGGGGTCATGATCTTCCAGGAATGGGATTTTCCAAGGGATGGGATTTGGAAGATCTCATTCCTGGAAGATTTTGTCCCCAAGGGATGGGAGGTTCCAGGAATGAGACCTTCCAAGGGACAGGATTTGAGGACAAAATCTTTCAAGGGATGAGGTCTGGATACAGGACATTTCAAGGAATGGGATCTTCCAGGAATGCAATCTTCCGAGGAATGGGATCTGGACACAAAATTTTCCAAGGAACAGGATCTTCCAGGGATGGGGTCTTTTAAGGGATGGGATCACTCAGGGACAGGATCTGGAGGAAAGCCCTTCCAAGGGACAGGATCTGGAGACAAGATAGTCCAAGGAATGGGATCTTCCAGGGATGGGATCTTCCAGAGTCAAAATCTTTCAGGGACAGGATCTGGAGACAGGTTCTTTCAGAGATGGGATCTTCCAAGGGATGGGATCACTCATGGTCAGGCGTTGGAGGCAAAAATGTCTAAGGGATGGGATCTAGAGACAAAATATTCCAAGGAACGGGATCTTTCAAGGGATGGGATCTTCCAGGGAAGAATCTGGAGACAGCTTCTTTCAGAGATGGGATCTTCCAAGGGATGGGATCACTCATGGACAGGATCTGGAGACAGCTTCTTTCAGAGATGGGATCACTCATGGACAGGATTTGGAGGCAAAAACTTCCAAGGAATGGGATCTTCCAGGGATGCAATCTTCCAAGGAATGGGATCTTCCAGAGACAAAATATTTCAGGGACAGGATCTGGAGACTTCAGAGATGGGATCTTCCAAGGGATGGGATCACTCATGGTCAGGAGTTGGAGGCAAAAATGTCTAAGGGATGGGATCTTCCAGGGAGAGAATCTTCCAGAAGATAGGATCTGGAGACAAGATCTTTCAAAGGATGGGATCTTCCAAGGGATGGGATCTGGAGATGATACTCCAAGGAACGGGATCTTCCAGGGACAGAATCTTCCAGTCATGGTCTGGCAGGTTTTTTTGCACCTCGGCACATTAATAAAGCTGCATCACGGGGTGAATGAGCCCTAAAAGAGGCGGGAACTACAATGGAGGGAGCTGTAACCATAGCAACCCATTGATGTTACATTGTGTCTACAGCCGGGAAGTTTTTTTTCCCCTCCGTCACCAACAGAGAAAAGATTTTTTTTTTTTTGGGGGGGGGGTCACTTGGGAGGGGAGGGGCCCACTGTCAGCCGGCTATCAGAATCCATGATTGGCCGGAAACACTAGAGGCGGTTCTGATCGATGTCGGGTTCAGGAAGACTCGCCCCAAATGTTGAGTTCCATTGATATAGTGCGTACACCCCAGAACACGAGGGGCACCATGGATGTTGCCCAGTCTGCTGGCAGGGGCGCCGGCGTTGTGTGAGCCGGACCGGCCGCTTCCATGCTGTTCTGGTGTGTCGGGTCGGATGCAGGAAAGGTCCAGTGGGTGTGAAGTGACCTCATTGGGTGCTGGGTTGGGGGGGCGGTTCTTGCATCGGGTGGGGAGTGACCTCATTGGGTGCTGTGTTGGGGGGGGGGGTTCTTGCATCGGGTGGGGAGTGACCTCATTGGGTGCTGGGTTGGGTGGGCGGTTCTTGCATCAGGTGCGGAATGACTTCATTGGGATCATCGCTCCCCTTCCCACGGTCATGTGACGGATTAGAGCGCGGAGCCGCAGGCGGATGGTGTCAGTTGACCCCGAAGAGGACCAGCAGCTCTGAATCCTCCATAGATGACCCTTCACTCATTTCATTGTTTGTTTTTTTTTTTTTATAGAAAATCCTTTTTTTTTTTTTCTCCTTTACTTTTTCTTTCTTTCTCAGCGCTGCTGATCTCCTGCAGCCTCTTTACAGCCACTTCCTGTCTGCATGTCCTCCAGCGATGGCTGCCTGGCACTTCTCAGGACGGGTTTCCTCATGGTGACACCGGAGGGCCGTGTCTGTGTAATCTGTTAAAATGTCTGCTTGTAGTCTCCACTGGAATTCAGGGTGACAACATGGGAGCACAACAGGGAGGCGAGGTCAGCGCGTTGTCACCCTATAACAGGAAGTGCCCGAACAAAGACTTTTAATGGCATTTCCCTGATGGTGACAACAGAGGACCAGGTCTGTGTAATGTGTGCTGACAGCCTCTCTATTGTAAGCCAGGGTGACTACGCTGGAGTACAGTTGGGGGATGGGGACAGAGCGTTGTCACCCTATTACAGGAAGTGCCTGAACAAGGACCTCCATGGCAGGATTGGGAGGGATTATTTCAAGCCTCGGTCACATAGGGGGGGACTGTGGGTGTCGGGGGGGAGAGATGGCGGGACTGTGGGGTCGCAGAGAGACATGGGGGGGGGGACTGCGGGGTCACAGAGAGACATGGGGGTGGACCATGGGATCCAGGAGAGACTTGGGGGGGACCGTGAGATCCGGGAGAGACTTGGAGGGGGGGGGGGGGGACTTGGGGGGGACTGTGAGGTCCGGGAGAGACTTGGGGGGACCGTGGGGTCCGGGAGAGACTTGGGGGGACCGTGGGGTCCGGGAGAGACTTGGGGGGGGAGAGACTTGGGGACCGTGGGGTCCGGGAGAGACTTGGGGGGACCGTGGGATCCGGGAGAGACATGGGGGGACCGTGCTGTCCGGGAGAGACTTGGGGGGACCGTGGGATCCAGGAGAGACTTGGGGGGACCGTGGGATCCGGGAGAGACATGGGGGGACCGTGCTGTCCGGGAGAGACTTGGGGGGACCGTGGGATCCAGGAGAGACTTGGGGGGGGGGGGGGGGGGGGGGGGGTGGGGTCCGGGAGAGACTTGGGGGGGGGGGGGGGGGGGGGGGGGGGGGGGGGGGGGGGGGGGGGGGGGGGGGGGGGGGGGGGGGGGTGGGATCCGGGAGAGACATGGGGGGACCATGGGGTCTGGGAAAGAGATGGTGGGACTGTTGGGTCGGGGTGAGACATGAGGGACCGCGGGGTCCAGGAGGGAGATGGGGAGATTGTGGGGTCTGAGAAAGATGATGGGGGGGGGGGGGGGGGACGTGGGGTTACAAAGAGACATGGGGGGGCCATGGGGTCAGGAAGTGAGATGGGGGGTTGTGGAAAGAGATGGAGGCCCTTGTTCAGACTCTTCCTGTTCTAGGGTGACAACACTCTGCTCCTGTCTCCCAGCTGTGCTCCTGTGTTGTCACATGGGCTTTAAGTGCGAGTGGCTGTTTCAGCAAATACAGACCTGGTCCTCTGTTGTCACCATCAGAAAAATGCCATTAAAAATCTTTGTTCAGCCACTTCCTGTTATAGGGTGACAACGCTGTGTCCTTGTCTCCCTGTTGTGCTCCCATGTTGTCACCCTGGATTCCAATAGAGACTTCAAGGAGATATTTTAACACTCATTACACAGACCTGGTCCTCTGTTGTCACCGTCAGGAAAATGCCATTAGAGGTCGTTGTTCAGGCACTTCCTGTTGTAGGGTGACAACGCTCTGCTCCTGACTCCCAGGTGTGCTCCCATGTTGTCACCCTGGACTACAAGCAGACATTTGAATGCACATTAAAACAAACCTGGTCCTCTGTTGCCACCATCAGGGAAATGCCATTAAAAGTCTTCAGGCACTTCCTGTTATAGGGTGACAACGCTCTGCTCCTGTCTCCCAGTTGTGCTCCCGTGTTGTCACTTGGACTTCTGATGTTCAGCACACATCATGCAGACGCCACCTGCGTGCGCCCGATCATCCGCGGCTCCCCCGGGCACTGGAGCTGCTGGTCGTTCGTCCACATTCGGCCTTCCATGAAGTCTGATGGTCTGACGTTCGGCCGGTGAATCCTCCGGGAGGAGGTCGGGGGTCACCTCGGGTTGGCGGGGCGTTCGGCCATCTTTGTGGTGTCGGAGTCGCTGACCGCGCTCTTCTCTGAACTCTCCTCGGGTTGCGAACGGCGGAGTTCTCTCCTGTGCCGGCTGTACGATTATCTGCAGGGCGGCAGGCAGCCCTGCGGTGACCCCGGGGTGTGTTATCTCACCCCGCAGAGCTCGCCCCCCCCCTGGCAAGGGTCTATCTGCTCCGCACAGATGGGGAGACCTGCAGACTCGGCACTTGTCAGGGGAGGGGCCCCAATGGAGTGAATAGAGAATGGTGTCACCGCTGACCGGTCGGCCGATCGTCACATCGATGTTCTCCAAATACAATGAGGGACCAATCTGCAGAGATCTCCCCCACCCCCCCTCTCCTGTGTTCTCCTCTGATTGGCAGATCAGACAATATATGGGGGAGATTTACTAAGACGTGAGAATCGGGGGGCAGCTGTGCTGGGAGCCAATCAGCTTCTACTTCCAGGTTGGGCCTTGAAGCATTGACAATAAAACCTGGAAGCTGATTGGCTGCCATGCCATGCAGAGGTGAGCCAGACTCCAGTCTTCCCGAAATGTCAGGATTTGGGATCGGACGATGTGATTGGTGGAGGGCGGTGTGCTGTTCTCGGGGGGGGGTCGTCTGTTGTCCAATATTAATCTTTATTTTTTGTATCTTTAGTGCTGAGAATTTCCCTCCTGTGCAGAATGACGCGTTCCTGCGTGCCGCCCGCGGGGAGGAGTGCCGCCATGTGCCGGTGTGGTGTATGAGACAAGCCGGCCGCTACCTGCCAGGTGAGGGCGCCATACCGGGGCAGGATGGGACTGTCATGGCTGCCGCAAGCTGGGGGCCTGACTTCTGGCCTAACCCCACAGTCCCCCCCCCCATGTCTGTCCCAGACCCCACAGACCCCCCCCCCCATGTCTCTCCTGGACCCCACAGACCCCCCCCCCATGTCTGTCCCGGACCCCACGGCCCCCGCTCCCATGTCTGTCCCGGACCCCACGGCCCCCGCTCCCATGTCTGTCCCGGACCCCACGGCCCCCGCTCCCATGTCTGTCCCCGGACCCCACGGCCCCCCCCCATGTCTGTCCCGGACCCCACGGCCCCCCCCCCCATGTCTGTCCCGGACCCCACGGCCCCCCCCATGTCTGTCCCGGACCCCACGGCCCCCCCCCCCCCCATGTCTCTCCTGGACCCCACAGCCCCCCCCCCCCATGTCTCTCCTGGACCCCACAGACCCCCCCCCCCATGTCTCTCCTGGACCCCACAGCCCCCCCCCCCTTGTCTCTCCTGGACCCCACAGCCCCCCCCCCCATGTCTCTCCTGGACCCCACAGCCCCCCCCCATGTCTCTCCTGGACCCCACAGCCCCCCCCCATGTCTCTCCTGGACCCCACAGACCCCCCCCCCCATGTCTCTCCTAGACCCCACAGACCCCCCCCCATGTCTCTCCTGGACCCCACAGACCCCCCCCCCATGTCTCTCCTGGACCCCACAGACCCCCCCCCCCCATGTCTCTCCTGGACCCCACAGACCCCCCCCCCATGTCTGTCCCGGGACCCCACGGCCCCCCCCCATGTCTGTCCCGGACCCCCCACGGCCCCCGCTCCCATGTCTGTCCCGGACCCCACGGCCCCCGCTCCCATGTCTGTCCCGGACCCCACGGCCCCCGCTCCCATGTCTGTCCCGGACCCCACGGCCCCCGCTCCCATGTCTGTCCCGGACCCCACGGCCCCCGCTCCCATGTCTGTCCCGGACCCCACGGCCCCCGCTCCCATGTCTGTCCCGGACCCCACGGCCCCCCGCTCCCATGTCTGTCCCGGACCCCACGGCCCCCGCTCCCATGTCTGTCCCGGACCCCACGGCCCCCGCTCCCATGTCTGTCCCGGACCCCACGGCCCCCCCCCATGTCTGTCCCGGACCCCACGGCCCCCCCCCCATGTCTGTCCCGGACCCCACGGCCCCCCCCCCCATGTCTGTCCCGGACCCCCACAGTCCCCCCCCCCCCCCCCCATGTCTGTCCCAGACCCCACAGACCCCCCCCCCCCATGTCTCTCCTGGACCCCACAGACCCCCCCCCCATGTCTGTCCCGGACCCCACGGCCCCCGCTCCCATGTCTGTCCCGGACCCCACGGCCCCCGCTCCCATGTCTGTCCCGGACCCCACGGCCCCCGCTCCCATGTCTGTCCCGGACCCCACGGCCCCCGCTCCCATGTCTGTCCCGGACCCCACGGCCCCCGCTCCCATGTCTGTCCCGGACCCCACAGCCCCCCTCTCACAGACCCCACGGTCCCCCCCCCCCCCCATGTCTGTCCCGGACCCCACGGCCCCCTCCCCCATGTCTGTCCCGGACCCCACGGCCCCCTCCCCCATGTCTGTCCCGGACCCCACGGCCCCCTCCCCCATGTCTGTCCCGGACCCCACGGCCCCCTCCCCCATGTCTGTCCCGGACCCCACGGCCCCCCCCCCCCCCCATGTCTGTCCCGGACCCCACGGCCCCCTCCCCCATGTCTGTCCCGGACCCCACGGCCCCCTCCCCCATGTCTGTCCCGGACCCCACGGCCCCCTCCCCCATGTCTGTCCCGGACCCTCACGGCCCCCTCCCCCATGTCTGTCCCGGACCCTCACGGCCCCCTCCCCCATGTCTGTCCCGGACCCTCACGGCCCCCTCCCCCATGTCTGTCCCGGACCCTCACGGCCCCCTCCCCCCCCCATGTCTGTCCCGGACCCCGCGGCCCCTCCCCCATGTCTCCCCCACACCCACATTCTAACCCCTCCCCTCTCCATATAAAACATACAGTTGCCGCCTTGTGGCCAATCACGGAGATGCAGCTTTCTTCTCTCACCTCTCAGAGTTCCGGGAGACCCGCGCCGCACAGGACTTCTTCGCGTCGTGCCGGAACCCCGAGGTCTGCTGTGAGCTCACCTTGCAGGTAATCCCGATGATGGGGGATGGGGAGGAATCGGTAGATTTTTCATGGATTGTGAGATCTGTTCATTGCTGAATATGAAAAAACGTTTGTAAGATACAAATTGTGGGGCCGAGATCAGCCCACGTCTCTGTCTGGGGTCACATAGCCGGTTCAAGTCCTTCCACGTGCCTCCATGATGACGTCACCCCTCCCCCACCCTCGGCCACCTTGTGGTCTGGGTGGTTTCTGCTGTCTCAGGACAGATAGCAGTCCTCAAGGTCCCAGTATGGGGCGGAGCCATTTCCTGCTGCTGTTTAGTTTGTAGATAAATCCCACCATGGAGACGCCAAGAGGTTTCATCACTCCTTTCCCGGGGCCACACAGCTCCTCCCCCGGGACCCCCTGTCTGCTGAGGTACGTTTATAAACCTCATGGTAGACAAGGGGTTAAGCCAAACTCATGGATGCTGCTGTGATCTCGGTCCCGGATGGAGGAGCCTTCCAATAATAGTGATCCGGGCAACTATAGAGCCACCTGATCCCCTTTGTGGGGCTCTCAAGGTGCACCCCCCACCGGCGGCACCTGCAGTAGTTCCAGGCTTCCTCATGTTGGACCCGGGGCCGCTGGAAACTGCTTGCCCAGTGGGAGCAGGAGGAAACCTGAGGAACATCTGTCCTCTCCTGCGACTAATGACTCCGGAAGGGATTTGTATTTGGTCACTTCGGGGTCACAACTGACATTCCTCAGCTAGTGCAGCCGGGGATGCAGCTATCCACACATGATCTGTGCATGGGGGGCAGGAGAGACATGGGGGGGGGGGGGGCTGGGGGCAGGAGAGACATGGGGGGGGCTGGGGGGCAGGAGAGACATGGGGGGGGCTGGGGGGCAGGAGAGACATGGGGGGGGGGGGCACGGAGCAGGGGGGGGGGCAGGAGAGACATGGGGGGGGCAGGAGAGACATGGGGGGGCTGGGGGGCAGGAGAGACATGGGGGGGCAGGAGAGACATGGGGGGGGGGCTGGGGGGCAGGAGAGACATGGGGGGGGCAGGAGAGACATGGGGGGGGGGCAGGAGAGACATGGGGGGGGGGCTGGGGGCAGGAGAGACATGGGGGGGGGCTGGGGGGCAGGAGAGACATGGGGGGGGCAGGAGAGACATGGGGGGGGCAGGAGAGACATGGGGGGGGCAGGAGAGACATGGGGGGGGCAGGGGGGCAGGAGAGACATGGGGGGGCAGGAGAGACATGGGGGGGGGGGGCTGGGGGGCAGGAGAGACATGGGGGGGGCAGGAGAGACATGGGGGGGGGCTGGGGGGCAGGAGAGACATGGGGGGGGGGGCAGGAGAGACATGGGGGGTCTCCATAAAGAGGACCTGTCACCCACCCGTGCCATCACATAGGAGGCTTGTTAGCCACTTTGTGATAATAAAGTTTTTTTTACAAAAAAAAACAAAAAGTAGTGCTTTTAAATCTAATTCATTTTTTTTTTTTTTTTTAAATAACTTTATTATACTATTACACCACTTTTTTGAAGTCCCGCAGTGTAGTGAACACACAAAACCAGCCCCCGGTGCAAAAAAAAAAAGTGAAGCACAGAGTGTACACCAGGCCCTCCTCCTAAGAGAAAGGGCCCCTAGCCCTGATCCCCTGGGGCCCACGGCTCCTGACATGGACTGAGGCTCTCACTGGTCCACACGGCCAAAACCAGGCCGACCCCCAGTACTCAGCGGAGCTCCCTCAAAGGGAGACCCTCCATGGGAGGGGGAGGACCTGACCAAAAGGCCATATGCCCCCCCCCCCCCCCCACAAAGGCTTTCAGGGCAGCCCAACCCACATGGAAGAAAAATATATATCAAATACTACAATTTTGTCCATATTCAGTATATTTCTAAATATATTTCAAGTAGAAAAAAATATATATATATACACGCTGTGTATGGCGTGCGGGTTTTGGGCGCGCTGTGTATGGCGTGCGGGTTTGGGGGGCGCTGTGTATGGCGTGCGGGTTTGGGGGGCGCTGTGTATGGCGTGCGGGTTTGGGGCGCACTGTGTATGGCGTGCGGGTTTGGGGGGCGCTGTGTATGGCGTGCGGGTTTGGGGCGCGCTGTGTATATGGCGTGCGGGTTTGGGGCGCGCTGTGTATGGCGTGCGGGTTTGGGGGGCGCTGTGTATGGCGTGCGGGTTTGGGGGGCGCTGTGTATGGCGTGCGGGTTTGGGGGGCGCTGTGTATGGCGTGCGGGTTTTGGGCGCGCTGTGTATGGCGTGCGGGTTTTGGGGCGCGCTGTGTATGGCGTGCGGGGTTTTGGGCGCGCTGTGTATGGCGTGCGGGTTTTGGGCGCGCTGTTTGGCGTGCGGGTTTTGGGCGCGCTGTGTATGGCGTGCGGGTTTTGGGCGCGCTGTTTGGCGTGCGGGTTTTGGGCGCGCTGTGTATGGCGTGCGGGTTTTGGGCGCGCTGTTTGGCGTGCGGGTTTTGGGCGCGCTGTGTATGGCGTGCGGGTTTTGGGCGCGCTGTGTATGGCGTGCGGGTTTTGGGCGCGCTGTGTATGGCGTGTAGCTGAGGCTATGTAGCGCTGATAGCGGGACCATCTGTTAGTGAAGTAAATAGTTAATTTGGGCCAAACAAATGATTTCGGGCCGTACACACTCCATGCGTCTCAGTTGCTTTTTTTTTTTGCACCCAAATCGCACAGAAAGTCGGTGATCTGGGTGTCGGTGTCATCGTTCACATCAGTGCTTGCAGTTCCGCTGCAGGAAAAACAGTAGACCCGGCTGCACAGAATTGTACCGGAACGCACACGTCTCTATTATTTAAACTGAAGAAAGAGGGAAGACGCAGCGGAATGCGGCATGGGCGCGGGGAACACGTCTGCACTGCGTTTCTATAGTGTGAACCGGCCCTTAAAGGTGAATAAAATCTGAACATCCGCTTGTTGCAGCCCTCGTAGCGCACATGTGCGGCGGCAGAAGGGTGGGCTGTGGTTGGCCACGTGCCGCACTTGCGCATCACTGGACCGCTGACTCTCATTGGCCGCTCCCAACGCAAAGCCTGCTGTCTGTCCCGACTAATCATCACTGGCCGGCGGCATCAGATTCTGATCATGTGACCAGTGTGGCAGCCAATCACAGCGCTCACATGATCATTGATCCTTCCCCTGACGAGCAGAAAGGGGTTAAAACCGGCCATGTTTCTTGGGGTGTGACTGCCGGAACCCCCTCCCCCCCACCCCCCCCCCCCCCCCCCCCCCCCCATATGGCGGCGCTGTGGTTCCGGCTCTTCCGTCTAACTCTTGTTCCTTCTCTTGCAGCCACTGCGTCGGTTCCCTCTGGACGCCGCCATCATCTTCTCCGACATCCTCGTCATTCCTCAGGTACGTCACCTCATAATGGGCACAGGGATGGTGGGAACCCCTCATAATGGGCACAGGGATGGTGGGAACCCCTCATAATGGGCACAGGGATGGTGGGAACCCCTCATAGTGGGCACAGCGGGTGTACAGACCCGGGAACTCAGCACAGGGATGGTGGGAACCCTCATAATGGGCACAGCGGGGGTACAGATCCGGGACCTCAGCGCAGGGATGGTGGGAACCCCTCCTATTAGAATGATCCTTGCACTCCTGATGTGCACCCTGTGCTGCTTCTCCCTCTCCCAGTCTGATCTCTGCTGTACAGGAGGCTGATTCCAGGTCACATCACCCGCTTGGTCTTCAGGCTTCCCCTATCCAGCCGCTCTCTGATTGGCCGCTCTCTGATTGGCCGCTCTGAGGTCTCACTGACCGTTCCTCTTCCAGATGTCACAATAGATGCAGCCAAATGATGCTGCATTATGGGGGAGGGGGGTCTCTGGTGTCATTCATATTCCAGTTGTCAGTCTTCCAGTTTGGAGGTTGTCAGGGGAGGGTGAGGTCCGCCCCCTGAGTCCGCCCCTGCCCCCCCCCCCCCCAGCTCCATACGCAGTGTTGTTGGACGTCCACCAGAGGGCTCCAGGGGTCTCTTCCAGCTGTTGGCGGGGAATCAGGTCAGACACTCTCTGCTGCGAGCTACGCTGGCATGTGGACCGAGTGATGTCATCACTGGGTCTCTGTGCAGGTCTATGCATTGCAGGTAGATTACGGCTGGTGGGGGGAGGGGTCGGGGGGACCAGGAAAGGGCAAATGTAAGCAGATTAATCCTCAGGTTCAAGGTCAGCGCCCACACTTGTATGTGGACTACCCCACACACAAAGGTGAAATCTGATTGGTTGTTGTAGGCTGGGTGGGGCTCTCCTGCTGACAGACCTGTAATATCTCCGGCGGATGTCCGCCCTCCTCCATCCGCCCCTCCTCCATCCGCCCCTCCTCCATCCGCCCCTCCTCCATCCGCCCCTCCTCCATCCGCCCCTCCCCCCACCAGGGCATAATTCTGTCTTCTCGGCACTCACAGGCTTTGGGCATGGAGATCCGTATGGAGCCCGGAAGAGGACCTGTCTTCCCGGAACCCCTCCAGAGTCCACAGGACCTGCAGAAGCTGAAGCCCACCGTAGACGTGTCCCAGGAGCTGGGCTACGTGTTCCGTGCCATCACCCTCACCCGTCACAAGATCGCCGGGAAGGTTCCTCTCATTGGTTTCACTGGTGCTCCGGTGAGTGGGGGCGGGGCCCCTGATGAAATGGTCCTGTGGGGCCCCTGATGAAATGGTCCTGTGGGGCCCCTGAAACGTTGCGATTTACTGCTGTGATGTGACCCCTTTATTACATTTCTGGATGCCATCGTGAAGATCCGCAGTGTGCTGGACATGTTGGGTTTGACCCGCAGGATGTATAGAGTGACCCGGTTCTTCCTCGGTTCCTTCAGGAGGGTGGATGAGGGTCTGATGTTCACCGGCTCCCGAGGGGCCTGACGTTCACCGGCTCCGAGGGGCCTGACGTTCACCGGCTCCGGGGGGCCTGATGTTCACCGGCTCCCGGGGGGCCTGACGTTCACCGGCTCCCGAGGGGCCTGACGTTCACCGGCTCCCGAGGGGCCTGACGTTCACCGGCTCCCGAGGGGCCTGACGTTCACGGCTCCCGAGGGGCCTGACGTTCACCGGCTCCCGAGGGGCCTGACGTTCACCGGCTCCCGAGGGGCCTGACGTTCACCGGCTCCCGAGGGGCCTGACGTTCACCGGCTCCCGGGGGGCCTGACGTTCACCGGCTCCCGAGGGGCCTGACGTTCACCTCACGGCTCCCGAGGGGCCTGACGTTCACCGGCTCCCGAGGGGCCTGACGTTCACCGGCTCCCGAGGGGCCCGACGTTCACCGGCTCCCGAGGGGCCCGACGTTCACCGGCTCCCGAGGGCCCGACGTTCACCGGCTCCCGAGGGCCCGACGTTCACCGGCTCCCGACATGGGAATCCTTCACGGGTGAATGTTGTGGATCTCTGGTGACCTCCATGTCTTCTCTTGCAGTGGACTCTGATGACCTACATGATTGAAGGCGGAGGATCCACCACCATGTCCAAGGCCAAACGTTGGCTCTACCAGAACCCGACCGCCAGCCAGCAACTCCTTCAGCTGCTCACCCGACGTCATCGTGGACTACCTGGTGGGACAGGTGGCAGCAGGTGCCCAGGTAAAGTCCCCTCCCCCTCCATGTGTGAGCACCCTTACCCCATCTCCATCCCGCCATGTGTGAGCACCCTTACCCCATCTCCATCCCGCCATGTGTGAGCACCCTTACCCCAGAGATCTCCATCCCGCCATGTGTGAGCACCCTTACCCCATCTCCATCCCGCCATGTGTGAGCACCCTTACCCCATCTCCATCCCGCCATGTGTGAGCACCCTTACCCCAGAGATCTCCATCCCGCCATGTGTGAGCACCCTTACCCCATCTCCATCCCGCCATGTGTGAGCACCCTTACCCCATCTCCATCCCGCCATGTGTGAGCACCCTTACCCCATCTCCATCCCGCCATGTGTGAGCACCCTTATCCCAGAGCTCCATCCCGCCCATGTGTGAGCACCCTTACCCCAGAGCTCCATCCCGCCATGTGTGAGCACCCTTACCCCATCTCCATCCCACCATGTGTGAGCACCCTTATCCCAGAGCTCCATCCCGCCATGTGTGAGCACCCTTATCCCAGAGCTCCACCCCTCCATGTGTGAGCACCCTTACCCCATCTCCATCCCGTCATGTGTGAGCACCCTTACCCCATCTCCATCCCGCCATGTGTGAGCACCCTTACCCCATCTCCATCCCGCCATGTGTGAGCACCCTTACCCCGGAGATCTCCATCCCGCCATGTGTGTGAGCACCCTTACCCCAGAGATCTCCATCCCGCCATGTGTGAGCACCCTTACCCCAGAGATCTCCATCCCGCCATGTGTGAGCACCCTTACCCCAGAGCTCCATCCCGCCATGTGTGAGCACCCTTACCCCATCTCCATCCCGCCATGTGTGAGCACCCTTACCCAGAGCTCCATCCCGCCATGTGTGAGCACCCTTACCCCAGAGCTCCATCCCGCCATGTGTGAGCACCCTTACCCCAGAGATCTCCATCCCGCCATGTGTGAGCACCCTTACCCCAGAGATCCATCCCGCCATGTGTGAGCACCCTTACCCCAGAGATCTCCATCCCGCCATGTGTGAGCACCCTTACCCCAGAGCTCCATCCCGCCATGTGTGAGCACCCTTACCCCAGAGATCTCCATCCCGCCATGTGTGAGCACCCTTACCCCATCTCCATCCCGCCATGTGTGAGCACCCTTACCCCAGAGATCTCCATCCCGCCATGTGTGAGCACCCTTACCCCAGAGATCTCCATCCCCATGTGTGAGCACCCTTACCCCAGAGATCTCCATCCCGCCATGTGTGAGCACCCTTACCCCAGAGATCTCCATCCCGCCATGTGTGAGCACCCTTACCCCAGAGCTCCATCCCGCCATGTGTGAGCACCCTTACCCCAGACCCATCCCGCCATGTGTGAGCACCCTTACCCCCAGAGATCTCCATCCCGCCATGTGTGAGCACCCTTACCCCAGAGATCTCCATCCCGCCATGTGTGAGCACCCTTACCCCAGAGATCTCCATCCCGCCATGTGTGAGCACCCTTACCCCAGAGATCTCCATCCCCATGTGTGAGCACCCTTACCCCAGAGCTCCATCCCGCCATGTGTGAGCACCCTTACCCCAGATCTCCATCCCGCCATGTGTGAGCACCCCTTACCCCAGAGATCTCCATCCCGCCATGTGTGAGCACCCTTACCCCAGAGATCTCCATCCCGCCATGTGTGAGCACCCTTACCCCAGAGATCTCATCCCGCCATGTGTGAGCACCCTTACCCCAGAGATCTCCATCCCGCCATGTGTGAGCACCCTTACCCCAGAGATCTCCATCCCGCCATGTGTGAGCACCCTTACCCCAGATCTCCATCCCGCCATGTGTGAGCCCCACTCCATCCTTACCCCCAGAGATCTCCATCCCGCCATGTGTGAGCACCCTTACCCCAGAGAGCTCCATCCCGCCATGTGTGAGCACCCTTACCCCAGAGATCTCCATCCCGCCATGTGTGAGCACCCTTACCCCAGAGATCTCCATCCCGCCATGTGTGAGCACCCCCACCCCAGAGATCTCCAGCCCCTTACCATGTGTGAGCACCCTTACCCCAGAGAGCCCATCCCGCCATGTGTGAGCACCCTTACCCCAGAGCTCCATCCCGCCATGTGTGAGCACCCTTACCCCAGAGATCTCCATCCCGCCATGTGTGAGCACCCTTACCCCAGAGCTCCATCCCGCCATGTGTGAGCACCCTTACCCCAGAGATCTCCATCCCGCCATGTGTGAGCACCCTTACCCCAGAGCTCCATCCCGCCATGTGTGAGCACCCTTACCCCAGAGATCTCCATCCCGCCATGTGTGAGCACCCTTACCCCCAGAGATCTCCATCCCGCCATGTGTGAGCACCCTTACCCCAGAGATCTCCATCCCGCCATGTGTGAGCACCCTTACCCCAGATCTCCCGCCATGTGTGAGCACCCGCCATGTGTGAGCACCCTTACCCCAGAGATCTCCATCCCGCCCCGCCATGTGTGAGCACCCTTACCCCAGAGATCTCCATCCCGCCATGTGTGAGCACCCTTACCCCAGAGATCTCCATCCCCGCCATGTGTGAGCACCCTTACCCCAGAGATCTCCATCCCGCCATGTGTGAGCACCCCCATGAGTGAGCACTCCATATCCCGCCATGTGTGAGCACCCTTACCCCAGAGCATCTCCATCCCGCCATGTGTGAGCACCCTTACCCCAGAGATCTCCATCCCGCCATGTGTGAGCACCCTTACCCCAGAGATCTCCATCCCGCCATGTGTGAGCACCCTTACCCCAGAGATCTCCATCCCGCCATGTGTGAGCACCCTTACCCCAGAGCTCCCATCCCGCCATGTGTGAGCACCCTTACCCCAGAGATCTCCATCCCGCCATGTGTGAGCACCCTTACCCCAGAGATCTCCATCCCGCCATGTGTGAGCACCCTTACCCCAGAGATCTCCATCCCGCCATGTGTGAGCACCCTTACCCCAGAGAGCTCCCATCCCGCCATGTGTGAGCACCCTTACCCCAGAGATCTCCATCCCGCCATGTGTGAGCACCCTTACCCCAGAGATCTCCATCCCGCCATGTGTGAGCACCCTTACCCCAGAGCTCCATCCCGCCATGTGTGAGCACCCTTACCCCAGAGCTCCATCCCGCCATGTGTGAGCACCCTTACCCCAGAGAGCTCCATCCCGCCATGTGTGAGCACCCTTACCCCAGAGCTCCATCCCGCCATGTGTGAGCACCCTTACCCCAGAGCTCCATCCCGCCATGTGTGAGCACCCTTACCCCATCTCCATCCCGCCATGTGTGAGCACCCTCTTACCCCAGAGCTCCATCCCGCCATGTGTGAGCACCCTTACCCCAGAGCTCTCCATCCCGCCATGTGTGAGCACCTTACCCCACCCATCCCGCCATGTTACCCCAGAGCTCCATCCCACCGCATGTGTGAGCACCCTTACCCCAGTGTGATCCCACCATGTGTGAGCACCCTTACCCCAGAGAGCTCCATCCCGCCATGTGTGAGCACCCTTACCCCAGAGCTTACCATCCCGCCATGTGTGAGCACCCTTACCCCAGAGCTCCATCCCGCCATGTGTGAGCACCCTTACCCCAGAGCTCCATCCCGCCATGTGTGAGCACCCTTACCCCAGAGCTCCATCCCGCCATGTGTGAGCACCCTTACCCCAGAGATCTCCATCCCGTCATGTGTGAGCACCCTTACCCCAGAGATCTCCATCCCGTCATGTGTGAGCACCTTTACCCCAGAGATCTCCATCCCGTCATGTGTGAGCACCCTTACCCCAGAGATCTCCATCCCGCCATGTGTGTGAGCACCCTTACCCCGGAGAGCTCCATCCCGCCATGTGTGTGAGCACCCTTACCCCAGAGCTCCATCCCGCCATGTGTGAGCACCCTTACCCCAGAGATCTCCATCCCGCCATGTGTGAGCACCCTTACCCCATCTCCATCCCGCCATGTGTGAGCACCCTTACCCCATCTCCATCCCGCCATGTGTGAGCACCCTTACCCCATCTCCATCCCGCCATGTGTGAGCACCCTTACCCCAGAGATCTCCATCCCGTCATGTGTGAGCACCCTTACCCCAGAGATCTCCATCCCGTCATGTGTGAGCACCCTTACCCCAGAGAGCTCCATCCCCCATGTGTGAGCACCCTTACCCCAGAGCTCCATCCCGCCATCTGTGAGCACCCTTACCCCAGAGCTCCCCCGCATTCCCCTTACCATGTGTGAGCACCCTTACCCCATCTCCATCCCGCCATGTGTGAGCACCCTTACCCCAGAGCTCCATCCCGCCATGTGTGAGCACCCTTACCCCAGAGCTCCATCCCGCCATGTGTGAGCACCCTTACCCCAGAGCTCCATCCCGCCATGTGTGAGCACCCTTACCCCAGAGCTCCATCCCGCCATGTGTGAGCACCCTTACCCCAGAGATCTCCATCCCGCCATGTGTGAGCACCCTTTGGTTTATTTTTTAGCTCCTTTTGGAAACTATGAATCCTTTTTCAATTCGGGTAGAACTGCAGCAATGTTGTCACCCTCTCTCAGTAATGTGGCCGGGGGGGGGGGGAGGGGAGTACCTGTCGTGTTTTCATCGGATTTGTAAGGCGTTGTGTTTCTGTGTATTCAGGCTTTGCAGGTGTTTGAGTCCCACGCCGGCTGTCTGGGGGCCCCAGCAATTCGGGGAATTCTCTCTGCCGTATCTCCGCGAGATCCCTCGGAGGGTGAAACAGAAGCTGAAGTCTGAGGGGCTGGAGGTGGTGCCCATGGTAGGTTCCCTGTCCTGCTGACCGTGCCGCGTGGGGCATTTGATTTCATGCCCCCCCCCCCCCAATGTCTGTGCCGAGTGGGGCATGTGATTTCATGTGTTCCCCCCCCCCCCCCCCCCCCCATTGTCTGTGCCACGTGGGGCATGTGACTTCATGTCCCCCCCCCCCCCCCCCATTGTCTGTGCCGCGTGGGGCATGTGATTTCATGTCCCCCCCCCATTGTCTGTGCCGCGTGGGGCATGTGATTTCATGTCCCCCCCCCATTGTCTGTGCCGCGTGGGGCATGTGATTTCATGTCCCCCCCCCATTGTCTGTGCCGCGTGGGGCATGTGATTTCATGTCCCCCCCCCCCCCCCCATTGTCTGTGGGGGCGTGGCTTTATTTTTTTATTTGTATTAAATATAAACAAATTATTACTTTATTATTTATTATTAATAGTAATAATAATTGTGAAGAAATACTGAGCAATAGAAACATCTTATTATTATTTGTTTCATTTTTATTCAGTAATAATAACCGGATAATAGATTTCTATTATTAATGATGATGAGAAGAATTGTAAGTAATCAGCAATGTAAACAAATGTATTATTATGAGATTTTTATTTAATACTAATAATAGAAATTTTAAACAAAATAATGAATATTATAAGCTGATTATTATTAACCATTTGATGCCCGGCCCGTGGGCGAAATGGCGTCCGGAAAAATGCACTAGCTTTCCGGGAGGCATATGGCGTCCTCCCACACATGCGCAGTTGGCGCGGTTTGCAGAGCCGTGCAGCGGCGTGATCTCTCACCGGCCGTGTACCTCGGACACGGGCAAAGACAGATCTGAGTACCGGCCCCCGTTGCCGGTACCATGTGACCTGCTGTGACCAATCACAGCAGGTCACATGACAGTTGTATACAATGGATGGCTTCATTCATGCCATCCATTCTACACTAGTGCCTAGCTGTGAATGGTCACACCAGGTCACATGCACATGTCATGTGATTAGCTGTGACCAAATCACAGCTAAGCACAAAAAAAAAACCCTGAATGAATCGATGTCATTCAGGTAAATGATTGCTGATAGGAAAGTAATTCTTTGCTATAAGCAAATTGTGTAAAAAAAATAGAATAATAATAATACTATGCTAACATTTTACTACTTTGGACATAGTGAAATATGAAAAAATAAAATCTTGAAAAAAGAAAAAAAATGTAATAAAAAATTTAAAATAATAATAAAAAATATATATATATATCATTTTTTTTTTTTCACACTGTCACCAGTCAGTGTCCCTGTTCACCGCGCCATGCCAGTTATATGATGACGCTGTACTGCACTGGTGACAGCATGTAAAAAAAAAAAAAAATAGTGAAAATATTTTTTTTTAATTTTCCGAAAAATTATGACAAAAAAAATACAACTTCAAAAAACTCGCCATTCCTCTTATGAAGTACGTCGGACTGTCTACTCTGCAAAAAGGGGTCATTGGGGGATATCTGTACTGTCCTGACATTTGGGGGATATCTGTCCTGTCCTGACATTTGGGGGATATCTGTACCGTGTCCTGACATTTGGGGGATATCTGTACCGTCCTGACATTTGGGGGATATCTGTACCGTCCTGACATTTGGGGGATATCTGTACCGTCCTGACATTTGGGGGATATCTGTACCGTCCTGACATTTGGGGGATATCTGTACCGTCCTGACATTTGGGGGATATCTGTACCGTCCTGACATTTGGGGGATATCTGTACCGTCCTGACATTTGGGGGATATCTGTACCGTCCTGACATTTGGGGGATATCTGTACCGTCCTGACATTTGGGGGATATCTGTACCGTCCTGACATTTGGGGGATCTGTACCGTCCTCTGTAACTGTCCTCCTGACATTTGGGGGGATATCTGTACCGTCCTGACATTTGGGGGGATATCTGTACCGTCCTGACATTTGGGGGGATATCTGTACCGTCCTGACATTTGGGGGGATATCTGTACCGTCCTGACATTTGGGGGATATCTGTACCGTCCTGACATTTGGGGGGATATCTGTACCGTCCTGACATTTGGGGGATATCTGTACCGTCCTGACATTTGGGGGATATCTGTACCGTCCTGACATTTGGGGGATATCTGTACCGTCCTGACATTTGGGGGATATCTTTACCGTCCTGACATTTGGGGGATATCTGTACCGTCCTGACATTTGGGGGATATCTGTCCCGTCCTGACATTTGGGGGATATCTGTACCGTCCTGACATTTGGGGGATATCTGTCCCGTCCTGACATTTGGGGGATATCTGTACCGTCCTGACATTTGGGGGATATCTGTCCCGTCCTGACATTTGGGGGATATCTGTACCGTCCTGACATTTGGGGGATATCTGTCCCGTCCTGACATTTGGGGGGATATCTGTACCGTCCTGACATTTGGGGGGATATCTGTACCGTCCTGACATTTGGGGGGATATCTGTACCGTCCTGACATTTGGGGGGATATCTGTACCGTCCTGACATTTGGGGGGATATCTGTACCGTCCTGACATTTGGGGGGATACCGTCTTTGGGGGATATCGTACCTGACATTTGGGGGATATCTGTACCGTCCTGACATTTGGGGGATATCTGTACCGTCCTGACATTTGGGGGATATCTGTACCGTCCTGACATTTGGGGGATATCTGTACCGTCCTGACATTTGGGGGATATCTGTACCGTCCTGACATTTGGGGGATATCTGTACCGTCCTGACATTTGGGGGATGTACCGTCCTGACATTTGGGGGATATCTGTACCGTCCTGACATTTGGGGGATATCTGTACCGTCCTGACATTTGGGGGATATCTGTACCGTCCTGACATTTGGGGGATATCTGTACCGTCCTGACATTTGGGGGATATCTGTACCGTCCTGACATTTGGGGGATATCTGTACCGTCCTGACATTTGGGGGATATCTGTACCGTTCTGACATTTGGGGGATATCTGTACCGTCCTGACATTTGGGGGATATCTGTCCTGTCCTGACATTTGACATTTGGGGGATATCTGTCCGTCCTGACATTTGGAGGATATCTGTACCTGTCCTGACATTTGGGGGGATATCTGTACCGTTCTGACATTTGGGGGATATCTGTACCGTCTGACATTTGGGGGATATCTGTACCGTTCTGACATTTGGGGGGATATCTGTACCGTCCTGACATTTGGGGGATATCTGTACCGTCCTGACATTTGGGGGATATCTGTACCGTTCCTGACATTTGGGGGATATCTGTATATCCGTTCTGACATTTGGGGGATATCTGTCTGACATTTGGGGGTCCTGACATTTGGGGGATATCTGTACCGTTCCTGACATTTGGGGGATATCTGTACCGTCCTGACATTTGGGGGGATATCTGTACCGTCCTGACATTTGGGGGGATATCTGTACCGTCCTGACATTTGGGGGGATATCTGTACCGTCCTGACATTTGGGGGGATATCTGTACCGTCCTGACATTTGGGGGGATATCTGTACCGTCCTGACATTTGGGGGATATCTGTACCGTTCTGACATTCTTGGACCTCAAGAAATTAGCTGTCAGTACTTCAGGATTGATCAATATTCAGATCTATACCATAGTTTGTGAACTCTATAACTTTCCTACAGATAAATAATACATCCTAATTTGGGTTATTTTCACCAAAGACATGGAGCAGAATACATCTCGGCCTAAATTTATGAAGAACAATTATTTATTTGTAAACTTTTATAACAGAAACAAAGAAAAACGTGTTTTTTTTTTTTTTTCAAAATTTTTGGTCTTTTTTTGTTAATTTAGCACAAAATAAAAACCCCAGAGATGATTAAATACCACCAAAAGAAAGCTCTAGTTGTGTGAAGAAAATGATCAAATTTTAGTTTGGGTACAATGTTGTATGACCGCGCAATTGTCATTCCAAGTGTGAGAGCGCTGAAACCTGGCCTGGGGGCAGGAAGGGGGGAGAGTGCCCGGTATTGAAATGGTTAATATTATATATTTTTATTCATAAGAAGAATTGTAAACAAAGCTCAATATAATCAAGTTATTAATAATAATAATAAAAAAAATCTACAGTATTTCCCAGAAGTGAGTCCACCCCTCCCCCAGACTGTATACAGTGTGTGTGTATATGTATGTATATATGTGTGTGTGTGTGTGTATATATATATACACACACACACACACAGCTACAGTATCCCCCAGAAGTGAGCCCCCCCCTCCCCCCCCCCCCCTCACATTTCTGTCAATATTTGATTCTCTCTTTCATGTGACAACACTGAAGAAATGACACGTTGCTACAATGTGACGTAGTCAGTGTACAGTTTGTATAACATGGAAATTTGCTGTCCCCTCAAATAACTCAACACTCCGCCATTAATGTCTAAACCGCCGGCAACAAAAGTGACTCCACCCCTAAGTGACAAGGTCCACATTGGGCCCAATCAGCCATTTTCCCTCCCTCGGGGTCATGTGACTCGTTGGTGTTACAAGGTCTCAGGTGTGAATGGGGAGCGGGGGGGGTTACATTTGGTGTTATCGCTCTCACTCTCATACTGGTCACTGGAAGTTCAGCATGGCACCTCATGGCAAAGAACTCTGAGGATCTGAAAACAAGAATTGTTGCTCTACATAAAGATGGCCGAGGCTATAAGAAGATTGCCGAGACCCTGACACTGAGCTGCAGCACGGGGGCCAAGACCATACAGCGGTGTAACAGGACAGGTTCCACTCAGAACAGACCTCGCCATGGTCCACCAAAGGAGATGAGTGCGCGTGCTCAGCGTCATATCCAGAGGTTGTCTTTGGGAAATAGATGTATGAGTGCTGCCAGCATTGCTGCAGAGGGCGAAGGGGTGGGGGGGTCAGCCTGTCAGTGGTGCCAGCATTGCTGCAGAGGGTGAAGGGTGGGGGGTCAGCCTGTCAGTGGGGCCAGCATTGCTGCAGAGGGTGATGGGGGGGGTCAGCCTGTCAGTGGTGCCAGCATTTCTGCAGAGGGTGTAGGGGTGGGGGGTCAGCCTGTCAGTGGGGCCAGCATTGCTGCAGAGGGTGAAGGGTGGGGGGTCAGCCTGTCAGTGGGGCCAGCATTGCTGCAGAGGGTGATGGGGGGGGGGGGGTCAGCCTGTCAGTGGTGCCAGCATTTCTGCAGAGGGTGTAGGGGTGGGGGGTCAGCCTGTCAGAGCTCAGACCATACGCTGCACACTGCATCACATTGGTCTGCATGGCTGTCGTCCCAGAAGGAAGCCTCTTCTAAAGATGATGGGAGTGTCACAGTCTGGGGCCGCATGGTGGTGGGAGTGTCACGGTCTGGGGCCGCATGGTGGTGGGAGTGTCACGGTCTGGGGCCGCATGGTGGTGGGAGTGTCACGGTCTGGGGCCGCATGGTGGTGGGAGTGTCACGGTCTGGGGCCGCATGGTGGTGGGAGTGTCACGGTCTGGGGCCCCATGGTGGTGGGAGTGTCACGGTCTGGGGCCCCATGGTGGTGGGAGTGTCACGGTCTGGGGCCCCATGGTGGTGGGAGTGTCACGGTCTGGGGCCCGCATGGTGGTGGGAGTGTCACGGTCTGGGGCCCCATGGTGGTGGGGGTGTCACGGTCTGGGGGCCGCATGGTGGTGGGGGTGTCACGGTCTGGGGCCGCATGGTGGTGGGGGTGTCACGGTCTGGGGCCGCATGGTGGTGGGGGTGTCACGGTCTGGGGCCGCATGGTGGTGGGGGTGTCACGGTCTGGGGCCCCATGGTGGTGGGGGTGTCACGGTCTGGGGCCGCATGGCGGTGGGGGTGTCACGGTCTGGGGCCCCATGGCGGTGGGGGTGTCACGGTCTGGGCCCGCATGGTGGTGGGGGTGTCACGGTCTGGGGCCCGCATGGTGGTGGGGGTGTCACGGTCTGGGGCCCCATGGTGGGGGGGGGTGTCACGGTCTGGGGCCCCATGGTGGGGGGGGGGGGTGTCACGGTCTGGGGCCCCATGGTGGGGGGAGTGTCACGGTCTGGGGCCCCATGGTGGGGGGTGTCATGGTCTGGGGCTGCATGAGTGCTGCCGGCACTGGGGGGTTACAGTTCATTGAGGGCCCCATGAATGCCAACATGTACTGTGACATACTGAAGCAGAGCGTGATCCCCTCCCCCCAGAGACTGGGCCGCAGGGCGTTATTCCAACATAACGACCCCAAACACACCTCCAAGACCACCACTGCCTTGCTAAAGAAGCTGAGGATGAAGGTGATGGACTGGCCAAGCATGTCTCCAGACCTGAACCCTATTGAGCATCTGTGGGGCGTCCTCAAACGGAAGGTGGAGGAGTGCAATTTCTCTAACATCCACCAGCAACATGATGACGTCATGGAGGAGGGGAAGACGGAAGGTGGAGGAGCGCAAGGTCTCTAACATCCCCCAGCAATGTGATGACGTCATGGAGGAGTGGAAGACGGAAGGTGGAGGAGCGCAAGGTCTCTAACATCCCCCAGCTCCGTGATGACGTCATGGAGGAGTGGAAGAGGACTCCAGTGGCAACCCGTGAAGCTCTGGTGACCTCCATGCCTGAGAGGGTGAAGGCAGTGCTGAAAATAATGGCGGCCACACAAAATATGGACACTTTGGGCCCAATTTGGACCTTGTCACTTAGGGGTGGAGTCACTTTTGTTGCCAGCGGGTTAGACATTAATGGCGGAGTGTTGAGTGATTTGAGGGGACAGAAAATCTCCATGTTATACAAACTGTACACTGACTACGGCACATTGTAGCAAAGTGTCATTTCTTCAGTGTTGTCACATGGAAAGAGAGAATCAAATATTGAAAAAATGTGAGGGGGGGGGGGGGGGGGGGGGGCTCACTTCTGGGAGATACTGTGTGTGTATAATAATATACATATACACACACCACCTGCATGGAGTTTGCATGTTCTCCCTGTGCCTTGTGTGGGTTTCCTCCGGGTACTCCGGTTTCCTCCCACACTCCAAAGACATGCTGGGAGGTTAATTGGCTCCTGTCTACATTGGCCCTAGTATGTGTATGTATGAATGTGAGTTAGGGCCCTTAGATTGTACGCTCCTCGGGGGCGGGGCCTGATGTGAATGTACAATATATATGTAAAGCGCGGAGTACATTGATGGCGATATATAAGTACCTGAAATAAATAAATATATATATTATCTACAGTTCTGCTTTGAATAGTCAGAATGTGTTAAATGAGGGAGTTACAGATTCTAGAACAAGCTGCCAGCCTAATATTGGGGGGAGGGGGTACAGATTTTTGTGTCTGGTGGGGTTACAGCAAGAAAAAAAAAAAGAAGAGGATTATGGGAAAGAATTTGACGGGGAAAGCCCTAACCATTTGGAAATGTTATCCTCCTTGTTAGTCATGTGACCACACAGCAGACAGTTGCAGGGAGCGGGAGGGTTGCTGGTCCGGGATCTTTATCCTCCAGTTAGTCATGTGACCACACAGCAGACAGTTGCAGGGAGCGGGAGGGTTGCTGGTCCGGGATCTTTATCCTCCAGGTTAGTCATGTGACCACACAGCAGACAGTTGCAGGGAGCGGGAGGGTTGCTGGTCCGGGATCTTTATCCTCCTGGTTAGTCATGTGACCACACAGCAGACAGTTGCAGGGAGCGGGAGGGTTGCTGGTCCGGGATCTTTATCCTCCTGGTTAGTCATGTGACCACACAGCAGACAGTTTGCAGGGAGCGGGAGGGTTGCTGGTCCGGGGTCTTTATCCTCCTGGTTAGTCATGTGACCACACAGCAGACAGTTGCAGGGAGCGGGAGGGTTGCTGGTCCGGGGTCTTTATCCTCCTGGTTAGTCATGTGACCACACAGCAGACAGTTGCAGGGAGCGGGAGGGTTGCTGGTCCGGGATCTTTATCCTCCTGCTGGGGAGTCCTGGCTGATTCCTGCGCTGGATCTGCAGTGACGGTGAATGGCAGTTGTCAGGGAGTGAATCGGGAATATCGGCGTTCCGGTTCTATTGATCAGTGCGGGCAGCAGGGAAGGAATCCTCCCAACATCCTACCATCTGAGGTGGGGGTGGGGGGAGCCTGTCCCGGCCTCCTCTGCTGGACTTTGTAGTCCGCCACTTGTGACTCTGAGTCTCTCGGCATTGAACGTTCATTAATAATCGTTTCCTTCCTGCAGATTGTATTTGCGAAGGACGCTCATTACGCGTTGGAGGATCTGTCGCAGTCCGGCTATGAGGTGGTTGGGCTGGATTGGACGATTGGCCCCCAGGAGGCCAGGTGAGGAGCCCCAAGTATGGCGCCACTTCAGAATCTGGGACCCACGTGGATCTGTAGAGTTATTCCGCCTAAATCTTTGTCTGTCAGTTGTAGGCGGAGATCAGGGGGTTCATTTGTCTGCTGTGCCCAATAATCGGGTCCTCCCTGGCAAGCTTTCTGTACGCGGGTTCCCAGCTCCGCCCACTTCTTAAACTTTTTAAAGGGGCCTCACAGTTGGAATGATGAATTGTTTTACGGGTGGGAGGAGGAAAAAAAAGGTTTTGGGTGGAGTGGCCTTTACCGGTTATCACACTGACAAGGGACAGTCCTACCCAATGCACATGCTCAGTGTGTACAACCCGGGCAGCCAATAGAAATCCCAGGGCCTACCTGACAAATGCGCTACAAGCTGAGATTTTTGCTGGGGGGGGGAAGGGTGAGTTGGAATGAGAAGGAGGGGGAGATCTGTGCTGGAAGGGGGGATGGGGGACGTAAATTTGTGCTAGGAGGGAGTTTTGGGAGGGGGAGGTTCGAGCTTGTAGGAGTGACTGGGAAGGGGGGGGGGGGGGGATTGGTGCTGGAAGGGGAAATTTGAGGGGAGAGAGACTGGTGCTGGAGGAAGGGGGGGGGGGGAGGGGGAATGGCGCTTAAAGGGGAAAGTTGAGGGGATATAGGATGATTGTGCCGGAGGGGGGGGGGGGGGGGGATTGGTGCTTGAAGGAGAAATTTGAGGGGATAGAGCATTTTAAGCACCAATCCCCCCCCCCCCCCCCCCCCCCGCAGTACAAATATTCTATCCCCTCAAATTTCCTCTTCCAGCACAAGAGGATTTGTGCTGGGGGGGGGGGGGGGTAATGGTGCTGGAAGAGGAAATTTGAGGGATAGAGGGATTTGTGCTGGGGGGGGGGGGGAGGGGGGGGGAAGGGGATTTGTGCTTAGAGGGGTGCACTGCACCACATCCCTCCCTCTCTATCCACTCTCAATCAATTCACGGAGGGGGGTGGAGGTATGCTTGTTGGGGGGGGTTTAGAGTGGAGCTTTAGACAGGCAGCCCCTACCGGGACGGGGCCCGCTGGGGGCCAGGTATGTGAGGTTTATATCGGCGGCCATGTGTGACTCTGCAGGGTGATCTCTGGGGGTTGGTGATGCATTTTGTCCCCTTTCTTCCAGGCAGCGGACGGGCCGGAGGGTGACCCTGCAGGGAAATCTGGACCCCTGCGCTCTGTACGCCAGCGAGGTGAGAGCGGGAAGATTTCTATCCCATAACTGACATTTTGCGTCTCCTCGGCGGCTGGAGATCTCTCAACTGCCATTTGTTGGTCCCACAACTCATTATCAACATTTTCTTAAGGGGGTTACTCTGTCTGTAGGTGGGGGTTACTCTGTAGGGGGGGGGGGGTTACTCTGTCTGTAGAGGGGAGGGGGGGGGTTTACTCTGGCTGGGGGGGGTTACTCTGCCTGGGGGAAGGGGGTTACTCTGTCTGTTGGGGGGAGGGGGGTTACTCGGTCTGTAGAGGGGAGGGGGGGGGTTTACTCTGGCTGGGGGGGGGTTACTCTGCCTGGGGGAAGGGGGGGTTACTCTGTCTGTTGGGGGGAGGGGGTTACTCGGTCTGTAGAGGGGAGGGGGGGTTACTCTGCCTGGGGGGGGGGGGTTACTCTGCCTGGGAGGGGGGGGTTACTCTGCCTGGGGGGAGGAGGTTACTCTGCTGGGGGGGGGGGGGGTTACTCTGTCTGTTGGGGGGAGGGGGGTTACTCGGTCTGTAGAGGGGAGGGGGGGGTTACTCTGCCTGGAGGGGGGGGGTTACTCTCTCTGTAGTGGGGAGGAGGGTTACTCTGCCTGGGGGGAGGAGGGTTCAGGGTTACTCTGCCTGGGGGGAGGGGGTTACTCTGCCTGGGGGGAGGGGGGTTACTCTGCCTGGGGGGAGGGGGGTTACTTTGCCTGGAGGGGGGGGTTACTCTGTCTGTAGTGGGGAGGAGGGTTACTCTGCCTGGGGGGGGAGGGGGGGTTACTCTGCCTGGGGGGGGGTGTTGCTCCGGGTGCAAGAATAAAGTCCTAATGAAAAGTGCGATTCGTGGCCCTCCGAAGAGGAGGGAGCCTGAGGCCGGATCCCCCGGGGTGGTGCAAGACTCCTGATGGGGACAAGGTACTCGTGCTGCACTCATCCAAAATCAGGTGGGCCCCGTTCTTCGGGGGGGACCTGCCAAGACGAGGTCCGTCCAAGTACTAGGTGGGGCCCCCCTGCCATGGAAGGGGGAGTAGCTGATAAGGCCGCACGCTCTACCTTCAGGGCAAAAGCCCGAGGACCAGCACCCTACAAATCATGGCCAGTAAAGTGCTTTGTGTCCCGGCACAAATAGGTGCCACGGAGCCACGGCCTACAATGTCTGAGAGTCCAGAACCTCCATGGAACCCACAGCTGCTGGGTACAGCCCCTCCCCCCATTGACAGCAATGACCAGATGCTGCTGTCAGTGGCTGTCTTGCATATGCGGCAGCTGGAAAATCCAAACAGGTTACAGTTTTCACCCAAACTGGGGTCCCTGTTACTTCCTGTTGTTGTCTCTGCGACAGGAAGTGAGGGGAAGTGTCCCTCGTGGGACACTACAAAAATATTTTTTTTTTAAAAATTTGCCTTTTACTAGATTGCAGTCTTTCCCCTTGCCTCCATATCCAGATTTTCACCAGTTCCCTCACCCTGCCCCCCCCCCCCCTCCTCATCCCATCCCTGCTTGTACACTCCCCCATCTCACAGGCAACAGGTACAGAGCCAATCAGAGCAGCTCTGAGCCTTGTGATAGCCAATTACAGCGATCGCAGGTGTACATTTGAGAGCCCGCCCCCTTCCACTCCCAATGCAGAATACCCCTAGCCTGCACATTTGTACCATTTAAACCCCTCCCCAGGGGCGGACTGACCATTTGGAAACTCGGGCGCTGCCCGAGGGCCCGGGGTCAGTAGGGGGCCCCATGAGATGCCCTGGTATCTTTTTCATAGGCTTTTTTGAGTTTGGGCAAGGACACAGGGGCCCATGATCCCCTATTGCCCGGGGGCCCCATGAGTTGTCAGTCTGCCCCTGCCCCCCCCCCCCCCCCCCCCAAAAAAAAAAGAATCCTTACACAATGAAATCAAATCCGAATCTTCTGAAAGCTGAAAAATAAATTGGTGGTGTCTCTCCCTCACAGGAGAATATTGAGAAGATGGCGAAGACGATGGTGGAGGCCTTCGGCCGACGAGGGTACATCGCGAACCTGGGCCACGGCTTGTACCCCGATATGGACCCGGCCCACGTAGGAGCCTTTATAGCCGCTGTGCACAAACACTCCAGCAGGAGGAGAATTGATGGAGGAGCGGAGAGCGCCAACCCTCAGGAGCCGCTGCTTGGGAGGTCACATGGAGCCATTCCGGGACGCACATTCATGGACCGCCCGCCCCCACCGAGGATTGTGCCCCCTGGTGGAGGCTGGAAGTGCTTTATTCTTCCCAAGGCCCAGTGAGGGTTCGTTAGGCCAAGAAATGAAACACATTAAATGTGAGTTTTAAACAATCTCGTGTTTGTGATGATTTCTTATATTTGTGTCATGAAAACGCCTTCCACACCCGATGTACAGAAGATGCCGACTTGGGGGGGCCCAGATCCACGGCGAGGGCGACTCCCTGAGCTGGAAACATTTCCTCCAATAAACTTGTCGCCTGTAACTGCCACCGTTTTCCCTTTTGTACTCGGCTGACACTTGGCCCTGTGAACCTCCGACATTGAACTCAGTTTTCATTGCGAGCCACAGCAGGATTCTGGTCGCCCTCATAGTTAGTCTGGCTGAAAAAAAGACAAAAGTCCATCCAGCTCAACCATTAACCCCTCACCTTCTGGGCGCTTCTGCCCCTCCCTGCCTACCGGGCGCTTCTGCCCCCTCCCTGCCTACCGGGCGCTTCTGCCCCCTCCCTGCCCACAGGACGCTTCTGCCCCTCCCTGCCCACCGGGCGCTTCTGCCCCCTCCCTGCCCACCGGGCGCTTCTGCCCCCTCCCTGCCCCACCGGACGCTTCTGCCCCCTCCCTGCCCACCGGACGCTTCTACCCCCTTCCTGCCTACAGGACGCTTCTACCCCCTTCCTGCCTAACGGGCACTTCTACCCCCTTCCTGCCTACAGGGCACTTCTACCCCCTTCCTGCCCACCAGACACTTCTACCCCCTTTCTGCCCACCAGACACTTCTACCCCTTTCTGCCTAACGGGCACTTCTACACCCTTCCTGCCTACAGGACACTTCTACCCCCCTTTCTGCCCACCAGACACTTCTACCCCCTTTCTGCCCAACGGGCACTTCTACCCCCTTTCTGCCTAACGGGCACTTCTACCCCCCTTTCTGCCTAACGGGCACTTCTACCCCCTTTCTGCCTAACGGGCACTTCTACCCCCTTTCTGCCTAACGGGCACTTCTACACCCTTCCTGCCTACAGGACACTTCTACCCCCTTCCTGCCCACCGGACACTTCTACCCCCTTCCTGCCCACCGGACACTTCTACCCCCTTCCTGCCCACCGGGCACTTCTACCCCCTTCCTGCCCACCGGACACTTCTACCCCCTTCCTGCCCACCGGACACTTCTACCCCCTTCCTGCCTACAGGACACTTCTACCCCCTCCTGCCTACAGGACACTTCTACCCCCTTCCTGCCCACCGGACACTTCTACCCCCTTCCTGCCCAACGGGCACTTCTACCCCCTTCCTGCCTACAGGACACTTCTACCCCCTTCCTGCCTAACGGGCACTTCTACCCCCTTCCTGCCTACCGGACACTTCTACCCCCTTCCTGCCTACAGGACACTTCTACCCCCTTCCTGCCTAACGGGCACTTCTACCCCCTTCCTGCCCACCGGGCACTTCTACCCCTTCCTGCCCACCGGGCACTTCTACCCCCTTCCTGCCCACCGGGCACTTCTACCCCCTTCCTGCCCACCGGGCACTTCTACCCCCTTCCTGCCCCCCTTCCCTGCCCAGGCCAATTTTCAGTTTTCAGTGCTGTCACACTTTGACAATTGCGCAGTCATGCAACACTACCCCTATGACATTTTTATCATTTCTTTGAGACAGAGCTTTATTTTGGTGGTATTTCATCACCTCGGGGATTTTTATTTTTTGCAAAACAAACCAAAAACAACTGAAAATTAAAAAAAAAAAAATTTCTTGTTTTAAAATTTTGTAAATAAGTGATTTTTCTCCTTCACTGATGTGCGCTAATGAGGCTGCAGTGATGGGCACTGATAGGCTGCACTGATGGACATTGAGAGATATCACTGATGGGCACTGATATGTGGCACCGCTGGGGCTACACTGATGATCAGTGTAGATGTCCTCTCTGAGGAATGCTGATTACCGGCTCTCCGCTCCTCTCCTCTATCAGTGTGACAGTTCGTGAGGAGAGAAATGCCGATATACCGTATTTACATGTGATCAGCTGTGATTGGACACAGCTGATCACATGACTGAGCCGACATCTTTGTCTCTTTCCATTGATCGGTGATCCGCTGTGTCCATGGGACACACCGCATCACCGATCGCCGTGCTGCTCGCTCCCAGAGCCACGCATGCGCGGTTAGAGTGGGAGGATGTCATACGACTCCTCCCCAGAACGAGAGAAACTGCCTTGTGCCCGTCATTGAACTATATAGCGGGCGGGAGGCAGTTAAAGAAAAACAAAAAGTTATAATCCTACACCCACAGTGGATCCAGAGGAAGGAAAAAAAACCCAGCAAAGCACGATCCAATCTGGGGTGGGTGTGTGTAGTTGTGTTGAAAAAAAATAGCCGTCAGACATCACTAACCGGATCAATCACTGTTTTTGGTGGAAATGATATTTCTACATGGCAAATTTCCTAGCAGGTGTAGTAGAGTCATAGAAATCCAACAGACCCGACAGTCATGACATGCATGCTGCTGATTCTGTGTCATGGAATCACTCATTGAAAGGGGCGTGTTCAAAATAATAGCCGTGTGGAGTTCTATTAGTGATGTCATTCATTCTTTGATAAACAGGTGGCAATGATTGCCCTTATTTAAGGAAGGAAGGCAGCAAATGTTGGACATGCTGGTTACAGTGCATTTCTCTCTGAAATTCTGAGGAAAATGGGTCGTTCCAGACATTGTTCAGAAGAACAGCATACCTTGATTAAAAAGTTGATTGGAGGGGAAAAACATATAAAGAAGTGCAGAAAATGATCGGCTCTGCTCAGCTAAAATGATGGCAAATGCTTTAAAATGGCAACCAAAACCTGAAAGACGGAAGAAAGCAAAAAACTACCATTGGAATGGATAGAAGAATAGCCAAAATGGGGCGGACTCCGCCAACAATCAGCTCCAGGAAGATGAAAGAAGGTGTGACGTTCCCTGTGAGGGACTCAGCCAACAATCAGCTCCAGGAAGATGAAAGAAGGTGTGACGTTCCCTGTGAGGACTGTTACAATTAGAAGACGCCGATGTGAAGCCAAGCTATCTGCAAGAAGTCCCCGCAAAGTCCCACTGTTGGGAAAAAGACGTGTGCTGAAGAGGTTACAATCTGCCAAAGAGCACATTGACCGGCCTAAAGAGAAATGGGCAACATTTTGTGGGCTGATGAAAGTAAGATTGTTCTTTTTGGGTCTAGTGGGCTGAGACAGTTTGTCAGGCGACCCCCCAAACACTGAATTCAAGCCACAGTACACTGTGAAGACCGTGAAGCATGGTGGTGCAAGCATCATGATATGGGGATGTTTCTCATACTACGGTGTTGGGCCTATTTATCGCATACCAGGGATCATGGATCAGTTTGAATCCATCAGAATACTTGAAGAGGTCATGCTGCCTTATGCTGAAGAGGAAATGCCCTTGAAATGGGGGTTCCAACGAGACAACGACCCCAAACAACACCAGTAAACGTGCAACATCTTGGTTCCAGACCAACAAGATGGACGTTATGGAGTGGCCAGCCCAATCCCCGGATCTTCATCCAATAGAAAACTTGTGGGGTGACATCAAAAATGCCGTTTCTGAGGCCAAACCAAGAAATGGAGAAGAACTGTGGAATGTGGTCCAATCATCCTGGGCTGGAATACCTGATCACAGGGGCCAGAAGTTGGGGGACTCCATGCAACACAGATGTACAGCAGTTCTCAGAAACAGTGCGACTACAACCAAATATTCATGAAGTCATTCAAAGGAAAGCAAAATCTTCAAACATTTCTCAGTTTATATAGTGAATGTTGGAGTTTGTAAAGAAGAATACAAACACGGCCATTTTTTTGAACCGTCTAATATTCACTTTTCTTCCATTTTTTTAGAGGAACGACACAAATTTGATGTATTTTTTCTTCCTGTTGTGATTTGGAATAGAATGTGTCGTGTTTCCCAATGCATTTGTGTGGATGGAAAGAAAAGCTATTAGAAGGATTTTCAGCTTTACTCACTTTTTTCATCACACTGATATTATTTTCAACACAACTGTATATACACACACATATATATACATACAGTGGGGATGGAAAGTTTGGGCACCCCAGCTAAAAATTTGTATTAATGTGCATAAAGAAGCCAAGGAAAGATGGAAAAATCTCCAAAAGGCATCAAATTGCAGATTAGACATTCTTATAATATGTCAACAAAAGTTAGATTTTATTTCCATCATTTACACTTTCAAAATAACAGAAAACGAAAAAATGGCGTCTGCAAAAGTTTGGGCCCCCTGCAGAATTTATAGCATGCACTGCCCCCTTTTGCCAAGCTGAGACCTGCCAGTGTCATGGATTGTTCTCAATCATCGTCTGGGAAGACCAGGTGATGTCAATCTCAAAGGTTTTAAATGCCCCGACTCATCTGACCTTGCCCCAACAATCAGCACCATGGCTTCTTCTAAGCCAGCAATGGGCAAACTACGGCCCGGCGGACCTTTTAATCCGGCCCGCGGAGCTAGGCTCCCGCTAGGCTCCTCTCACAGTCCGCCCTGAAGACCGGTGTAGCATGAAAATCTGTCTCCTATGAGGATCTGTCCCCCTCGACGTATCTGCGCATGTGCCGGAGATCACCGATCGGCTGCTAATGCCTGAAACTTGGCACATGCGCAGATACGTCGAGGGGGACAGATCCTCATAGGAGACAGATTTTCATGCTACAACAGAACGGCGCGAGAATACGGCGAGAGGAACGCGCGGAGCAAAGGTAAGTGAATTGACACAGGGGGGACTTAATATGGGGGATGAATTACTATAGGGGGGGTGAATTACTATGGGGGAATATTACTATACTTACTATGGATGACACTTACACATCATTCATCTACTCTTGGTCCGGCCCCCGGGTCCAATATATGAACC